GGAAGTATGGTCGTATAATTTTGACAACAGATTTAGATTTAGCATGAAATTCTGCATCTAATGAATATTACTCGACAGCCCGGACATACTTCCTTTGGATCAATAATTGAAATGATTTATGATCAGAGCCTCTTTGTGATGTATTTTCACCAGTTTTCTCTTCAGTTCTCTCATGAGAACTATGTTCTGCCAAGTTGGACACCAGATTTAGATTCAGCATGAAATCCTGTATCGAAATATGTTTCATTCATGCCCCGGGCATATTTTCTTATGGTCGATAATCAGGATGATTCATCGTGGAGTACGCCCTTTTCATTAATTTTTGCCTTTTTTTTAGATTTACTCCCTTCTGAAGTATGTCCTGGCAATCAATTATGCTCATTCTGAATCAGCATTTACTTCTGCATCGATTTGTGTAAAAACCATGATCCGGACATACTTCTTTGTGCTCGGGTAATTTGAGTATTTGTCAATGAGTACCTATATCAGACGGAATTTTGCTCTTTTTTTCGGGATTTACTCTCGTCTGAAGTATGTTCTGGCAATCAATTGTGCTGATTTTGAATCGGCATTGAAGTCTACATCGAAATATTGGCAGTGAATGTGCAGAACTTGCTTTATTGTGGTATTGTGTTGCGAACCATCTAATATTTATATACAGTGGTCTTTGTTAAGAATATTGCGTAGGATTTTTCAGAATTTCTTAGCTGTTTTTTCTAGTCAAAAAGTTAGGCGAGGATTGTTTTGAAAAATAATGGAATGATTTTTGCTCTGGTAACTAAGGAAATAATGGTTGGTATTTTATGGATCGATTTCTATTGGTCGATGCAATCTCAAATCTGATTGGTCGTCGTGCTAACTTCACATGGATAAAGATCTATATGTTTATGCGAATATGAACATGATATATGGAGGTAATCTACAAACGAATAAGAGCAAAGAGTAACTAAATTTACTTCTAAACGTTAGAGAATGTTGCTATTAAAACTCTAAACGGCGACAAAACGATATCAATATGAGCTGCCCTTATTCAGCAGAAATAGCCTTAAACGGCACCGTTTTCATTCCCGTGAAAAACACTCCGTAATCTAAGATGCTAAATTAGATCTCCAAAACAATGGAAAACGAATTGCATTTTTCGCTAGTACCGACAGAAAATGATTTGTTTCATGCTTTTCACGATGCTGTTTTTAAGGGACGGAATGATCGACCTAAAATGTGAAAGTGTCAGGATATTCATGACAAACAAACGACACGGCCAGTGTTGTAATGTATTAACTCGATGATAATAAATAGATAGCAATGCACTGTTGAGTTTAGAATATAATCAAGCAACAACAATAACAACACTTGTCGGTATGATTGCTGCCCCTCTTATATCCGTATATACTGGGTGGGCTAAAAGTCAGTTAACCGAAGAAAAAATTGAATATCTCTGTCATAGCTCAGCCAAATGGACGGATTTTTTACCAATAATAGAGACGTATACATAAGTCATATCCATAAGGACAAGATTGGAGAGAACCGTTTTAAAGTATTACTACCGGCTTCAACAAAAAATTTTCTCTCTCACAGATACAATAAAAAACAATGTGGGATGAACAAAAGCCATTTTACCAAGATAAAGTATAAATGGTCATATCAAATTTTAACCATCACGTGCTGTTCATTCGTATATCTTTTCTCTCTTTATTTTTCTTCTTTTGCTTTGCTANTACTACTCTTCGGACCCAATTTGTGTGATTTTCCACTAATCTTCGACAATTTTCGAATAGATTATTCCACATTTAGTCTCAAACAGATATTAAATTTGAAATTCGCATAAAAAAATCTAGTTGATCTATGTGTGTTTGAAATTTTTTCTGCTGCTTTTTTCTGGGTCAATTTTTTACTCTCTAATCACCCTCCGGGGTATATAAACAGAAGCCTAATCAAAACAACTGTTTTGTTGATTATTCAAGGGTCTTTTGTCGTCAAACGACATTTAATAAGTTTAAAACTTCCTTTACATCACCAACATAGTTTTTTGAGTAAATTAATTTTTTCAGCTGTTCCGAGATGGACCAGAGAGTAAAAAATTTACCCTAAAAAGCTGCAGCAAAAATTTCAAACACACATAGATCGACTAAGTCTTTTATACTGATTTCAAATTTAATATTTGTTTGAGGCCAAATGCAAATTAATGCGGTCGTCGAATATCAGTCAAAAATGACACGAATTGAGTCTTAAGAATAGTGAACAGAGAAAAGTGCTTTACGAGACATCAAGTTTCAAGTTGTAAACGGCTGGTCAGAAAGAACACATTAAATTACGTATTCGGCAAAAAAACTTTCGATTGTGCACTTCTATAAACGATAACCTCTAACAGGCAAAAAATCACTGGTTGAAGCAATATGATCAGATCGGGGTGGTATTCGGTATTTATCGATAAAAAACGTTTTCAGTATCTAAAATGTTCTTACAGATTCTAATGGAGAAAAAAAATTTGCGTTGAATGAGACTATTTTCAAAGAACCAAATAAGATTCTAAAGGACTTTCAGGACGAAAATTATGTTTTAGGAGTTTCAGAAAGCATTTCAGATCTTTCTTTCTATCCGACTAGTTTTCAAAAAACAATGTGATATTTCTAACCAACACACTTAACTCTATCAACCTAGAAGAATTTCTAATAAAACGGCGGAAAATTTTTCTTTTGATGCCTGAGAGGTATCTCAGGCATAATATATTGAATTCTGATAAAATATAAAATAAACTTCTGAAAAATAGTCAGGAAGGAGTGCTAATTCTCAGACTAATAAAATTAGGTTGAGAATTTTGAGATACGATGTCCATAATTTCTCACACCTCCATTCACGGAGTTTCTAAAGCTTCTTAAACACTTTTACAGTCTCAGAGTCTATTGAAGTCTTCTGAAGTCTCATGAAGTCTCATTAAGTCTCGTGAAGTCTCATGAAGTCTCATGAGTCTCATGAAGTCTCATTAAGTCTCGTGAAGTCTCATGAAGTCTCATGAGTCTCATGAAGTCTTCTGAAGTCTCCTGAAATTTTTTGAAAAATTTGAAGTCTCTATGCTTGAAGTCTCTTGAAGTCTCGTGAAGTCTTTTGAAGTCTTGAAGTCTTGAAGCCAGCTGTTTCCCCCTTGGCTTGAACCCTGATTTTCTCAGTCGCATGACGTGCAAAAAAGTTGAATAGTATCTCAAATGAAAATGTATTAAGCGCGCTACAAAATGCATATTTATTTGTTATTAAAATCACATAGCTCCAAAAAGTTTTACAAAAAAAAATACTGGAGAATTTTCGTTGCTCCTGACCTTCGATTGCTGTCTGTTGTGGTTCTGTTCCCCACAGATCATCAAAGACCTCGACCGACGGCCTCTAGAAATCATTAAAGACTGTGATAGACGAGCTCTAGGGACCGACGCAGACCGTATATCGCTATCTTCTCATTAGAATATGTAAACTACTTTCCTTTTGCAGTGCTAGAGAATTAATTGAATGATAATGAAGAGATGTGTCCGAAAATAGATAAAAGAAAACAATTTTCATGTGATAAGGAACAAAGCTGCATCATGTTTCACATTTTAATCTCATAGAGATTGTTCTTACAATTTTTTTCGAAAAACAGCGAAGTTTTGGAAGAATGAAGCATGAATTTTTACACTTATGCCGGTATTCCCAAATGGCAATGAAGTTATTTTTTGAAATATACAAAAGTACAATTACAACACTAAAGCTTTCATACTTGAAACAGAAAAATAGCGATAAAAAACGTACGATCAAGAGAATAATTAAATTACTATCGAAACAAATTTATGTGTATAGTACCAATTTGCCTATTTCAAAATCTATACAAATCATCGAAAAATCTCGATTCTTGAAATCAAAATCTGGATCAGTGGAACAATTATCGATGTTGTAAATAAAAATAGATGATTTGCAAATTCTTTTTCACAACAAAATTATAAACATGAAAATGTATAGTCTAGTTGTTGATAAAAACAAACACGAGGGCTGAGGCCGAGGCAGCTTTGCAGATCTCTATTTCAAACACGATACATTGAATGAAAATTGATCGAATCCTGCCTGATTCAAACTTTGATAGCTAGCAATTTCCTTGTTCCCATTTCACTTTCCTTTCGTTTTCCATAGGCAAAGAAAAGGCAAGTTAAACAACGGTGTTTTGCGTCTATTGTCTTCTCAACGGGAGTGAGCAGTGTCTCTTTGTTATTCCATCACAAAAACACAAGGAAACGCAAAGTAAAGCAGAGTTGAATGTATTCATCATTTCAGCTTTCTTAATCTTCTTAATAGTAGTATTGTTATTCTTTTCTTTCAAAAAACATTTTAAAATGAAGATCTAAGAAGATATGAAATGATCAAGAGAGTTTAGAAAATGTAGTCAGAAACCAAGTTTTTTTCATTCGTACACTCACCATAGTCGCAGTTCAAAACTTGTTGAGTCGGTACTTTCGTTTTCTATTTTGAAAAACATTCTGCATCCTCACAACTTTCTTTAAAAAAAAAGAAAGGCAAGAAAATATTCCACCACCAACGTTAATAATAGAATTTTTCACTCACCCTCAATAATCTTTAGTCAAGTTTTATGGAAAACTACTCAAATTCAAGAATCTTCCTCCTTCGATAGAGCAGCTTCACATCTTGATTTCCTACATGACTATATCAACAAAATTTCTTCAAATTGAAAACGACTTTGAGTCAAAAATATGCAACTGTTCATTTATTGATACGTTCTACAGCAAAATGCTTTCGATTTTGTAAATCAGACTTTGCTTGAAATCGAAATTAAATATCCAATTAATACTTCTTTCTTGATTCTGGATATTATTTGTGCTATATGGATGTTCACTCACAAGTTGAAAGAATTTTGAAAATATTTTATTCGATTATTCGGGAAAGAATGGAAGACAGAAGTTGTGCAATATTTGCGAATCTAAGAGAAGTACCATCATTTGATGCATGGGAAAAGTTAGGATCAGAGCTTATGGCATAAACCATCGGTAGCTTTGAGCTAAAAAAACACATAAAAAAAGCATACCTGATATGCTAGAGTTAGTAATGGTGGTAGTGCTGGCAAATCTTGAACGCCATACAGAGACGGGAATGACTGTCACGGCGAAGAATATAATCGTCACTAAGCAGATTGGAATGAAGAATCTCTTCTTCCGATACGAGCGACGTCTAGACGATATGATGAAATAATCTCATCAAAAATACAGTTACATAAAGAGAAAATGAGACTTACTTAATTGTTGAAATATTCGTGTCAAGCCATGCATCTGAAAATAGAATTACTTAAATTCAAAATAAATCGTTGAATATTTTCAAAATACTTTCGAATGGAGGCTCAAGTATCATTTCGTTCGGTGTTTGCTGTTTCAAATGAACGATGTAGAGATCAGATGCCTGAGGCAGTTGTGATTGCACTCGCATGTATGTTCCCGGTAGCAATAACATTTCGTCCTCATCGCCAAAAGCTGAATGACCACGTATGTTCCTGGTATTGAAGGCTTCAATGGAGAAGAGAGTTCTCGCGCCCACATTTCCCAAATAGAGATCACTTTGTAATACAGCGAGCGACGTTGTGCACGATGAGAACCCCCACCATGTTACTAAAGCTTCATGTTGATATTCATCACTAATATTGTTTCGCACTCCACGCCAGATGACTTGCGGAGGCGCGCATGGTATTTTGGCCAAAGCAGTGAGAAAAAGTTTGAGGTAATTGAACCACGGTCTCAATTCGTCGCGGTCAGCTGCCCTGAGAGTGTTATTGAGAATAGAATAGAGGCTACTTCCTCTATCAGTCCATTCCATCGTGTAGAGACGAATCGACGCTGATTCTTCACGAGTCAGACCATCGGCCGGCTCAGCTTGAGTACGTTGCAAAGCAATCGAAACATACACGTGTATATCGTGAAGAATATGGACTAACGGCACGCATGCCTGATCAAGTGGGAGAAGTGGTTCCTGGGCATACCCGATAATTGGACCAAGTGGTGTCAAATTGATAATATCGTTTATTAGTAATCGAGAATTTCGATGCTGAACATTTAATTCAACGTTCTCATTCATATTCACAAAGCGTCCGTTGTGCAAGCGACGACTTGAATATATCTAGTATCCCGAGAAAAATTTTCTTATTTAGAACAAACAAAATATCCATACAAATAAATCAATAAATAATTACGTTTTCTTACGGGCAATACTTTGAGAATAAAAATGATTGAGTTAACAGCACCAATTACATTTAATTTATTCAACATTTATCTTTTTTATAACTACTACACTTGATAAAAGACAACGCAATTAATTTTTATTTTCAACTATTACGTCATCGTTACGATAGTTTAGCTGTCATTATCAAGCCATATGTTTTACAAACAACAATCAACTAACAACATATGAAGTAACGAACGAAAAAACTTAATCACCTACTAGTTTCACTAAACAAAAACCCAACAAATCTCTCCGTCATGGTCGATCATTCCGATAAGCAACTATAACAATGAGCAAACCATGGTGGAGGTATTTGCTAGGTTTTTGAAACTAGCAGATGATTAAGTTTCTCATTCTTTACTTCATATGTTATTAGTTGGTTGTTATTTGTAAAACCTATGGCTTGATAATGACAGCTGAACTGTCGAAACTGCAACGTAATAGTTAAAAAACATTAATTGCGTTGTCTTTTTATCAAACGCAGTAATAATAATAAAAAATAAACGGTGAACAAATTAAATATGATAAGTGTTGTTAACTCAACCATTTTTGATAAGAAATTAATCAGTTACAAGTTGTTCCTGCAGCATACAGGCAAGAAAACACATATCTAAAATCATTTTCTTGTCTATAGTGGATAATAACAACATGAACATAAGGAGAGACGCGAAAGACGATCGCGATTTCACACAGACCAGACTTGGAGACGAGCAGCATTACACGTGTTTTCGGCTCTCAGCGAAGAAGGAAGTGAATAAAATAAGATGGACAAAATGATGTCTTTTTAATACATGTTATTACAGTGATCATTCAAGTGTGTAATCGACGAAAAGAAAAAGTTGATAGCCTACGTGTGCCGCGTGTCTTGTATCTCACGAAAATAAAAGTATACACTGACACAAGTGATATCAAGGCGAAATAAAATTTCATTTGTATCGCATGAATGACGAATGCGTATTTGCAGCCAGTGATCTACTGTGTGATGAAGTAAATGCGCTTATCTTTCAGTGGTTATTTCTAAATACACTGTGTGAACATATTTTTTCAAATGAGCCAAATAATAAGATCTATATATCTTCAGAATCAGCATAATATGAGTACTAATTTCTGCTAAATATTTTGCTGATCATTTTTAGAAAAATTGATAGATGATGCTCTGTGCAAACCATCTATAACCAAGACAGAATGTTATACTACAAAACCCAAGAGCCTTTTTACTTCCTTGAATGCCTTTAGATTTGAGCTGAGGTTTCGCATTCTACAGTTTGTGAGTGCCCTAAAGTCGTCTGTATCAGCCATATCAATTGTTTTGGCTTATTCTTTGATTTTGGTTATCTATCATAAAGATGACGCTAGTAAAGGGCACTAATAAAACAGAAAAAAAATGAAATGGTCACGATAAAAGTATTATATGATAACATTGTAAGAAGTGCCGAATTTTCTGCAGCATTAGTTTTTTAATGGGCTCATTTATAAAAATGACTTCAATCAGTGCATCAGTGGATTTCTCTTAGAAATGATGAAGTGAGTCATTTGCATCAGACAGTAATAGATCACAGTGATAGAAAACATCGATGTGAAGCTACCATGACGATGAATCATATGTCACATAAAATCGACCGACAGAAAAATAAGGATAAAATATCTGCCACGATCTATGAAATACTTAAATACATTCCCTAGTTAATGGAAGCATAATCAATCTGAAGCAACTGCAACTGGAATTCATTAAATCGAACTGAGTTTCCAGATCGCCTCACAGTGCCTAAACTTTGAAAAATCAAGAGATGTCGCCATCAACGAAAAGCTCATTATAAATTCACTGTTTTTAACGGCACATGCACTGGTCATTAGTGAACTGCATAGAACATCTGCCTTTTCCTATACACACAACTCTGAAATTGTACAGTAGAACGGCACAACTTACGCCGTAGATCTCTCGTGATGAAAACCGGATTTTCTTTATAAGATGACTGTGACCTCTTCAATACGGAAAATATAAAACTAAACTTAAACTGCTTTTATTTCAGAAGGGCTACCTTGTCTTTTCAATATGCTTCGAAATCCTAGAACTGATACCTGAATTACATCCCGCCCTGTCTCTGATCAACGTGAAGAAATTTTGCTAGAATGGAGAAAAACTGAATGCATGTATGTCTCATTCAGAAAAGAAACTTGTTATAAACATTTAATTTCCTAAACATTTACATAGGAGCTATTTCACAAAAGTTGTCCAATCTATAATTACCGATTTGGCTAGTTTTTATATATGTTATAGGGGCAGGGGTTGATGAATTTCTACGCGAGCTGTTTCAAAAAAAAGGTTCTTCCATTCTTCAGATATTTAAATTTTTCTCACAGTATTATAGTCAAAAAATGATATTTTTGTGACTTTCTGTGACATTTATATCTCTTCAAGAATACATCCGTTTCTCTTGAGATTTTTACCGTACGTCCATCTTAAGTTGAGGTATTTCACATGAAAAACGAGCTAAAAAAGATGAACTACTGAGGAGTTGACCAAGACCGTATGGTAGGAGAAAAAAAGAAAAGGAAAATATCGACAGATGAAACATCAAAAGAATAATTGTCGAATAGAAAAATATAGAATAGAAAATGTCGAAAGAAAAATATAAAAAAAAAGGAAGTATTGAATTGAAAAAATTTCATTTTCATTATGATAATCAATTGAAAGGGTGTGGGTGTGGGTGTGGGTGATAGTGTTGCTGCTGGTGTGCTGCGGTAAAAAGCTATACCCACAGTCACTGTCACACTCAACCGCACCCTCCCTCCTCCCCCCCCCCCCCCACTCACAACTACAATTTTGTCAATAAGATCAACTGAGCATTTTGTTAGATTAGTTAAAGTTTTGATATCTCAAGCGAAAATTACGTAAATTATACTTTCGTCTGATTAAAACTAGTGAAACTATATATTGTTGTCAAACAAGACAAGATTAATTCATAGTAAAAAAATGCCTCAAAGATTATCATCTGAATAAATGTACTACGATAATTTGAGAAGGCGATTACGCTGATCTACAGATGATAGAGTAGCTTATTGCTATCTAAAAAAGTTTTTCAATGGAATGAATGATAAAGACATATAGATAATACACACGAAATAATTGATGTTCGATCTACATTCATATCCATTACTTCATACTGACTAATAACACTATTTACCTTTTCTTGAGTCAAAACGAGGTAAAATTGATTTATGTGAACGAATGAACTAATATGTGGCTTACTAACCAAAATCATCACTAAAAAAACATGCATTAGATGTTTTTTTCTTCCTAGATTTGACTGAAAAAAATTTGTTCATACTATTCTTCGGTATGCTCATTCACTTAGTGAAATTATTGCGGAACGAGAACAATGTTCGTCCAAATTCATAATGAATTTTTCGACTAATTCTTTTTTCTTTCTACCTGTTATTTGATTGAGGACACGATAAAATAATAGAACAATGGATTGGTCGATGGGATCACTACATATAAATAGTTAAAAAAACAATTATGTTTCATTCGACGTACACATTTTTCTAAACACTGGTAATTGATATCGTAAGTTATGACAAGACAATCATGTGTTTCACCTATTATAGTACGAAAGTTTAACTAACAAATATATGGTACGAATGTTTTTTTTTTAATTTTTTCTGCTATTTTAATTACTCGAAAAATTATATCAGTATGTTGAATAATATTTTGATTGGTACAGTCAGATGATTATGCGCTGTAAACTAGAAAATAACTTAGAGTTTAATGTAGGATATTCTAGGAATGCGCATATGAATTCACCGATAAATTTTTAATTCTTTGAAAATAAGATATTCGAAACTTTAAGGATAGAAATTTGATTTTCTAATTAGAAAATCGAAAGTAAATTCATATGGGCATTCCTAGAATTTCGGACTCTATTTAGCAATTCGAGTATTTTTTAAAAACTGGAAAATCGAATTTTATTTTCATATCATAATGAAGTATCAAAATGTATTGAATAAAATAAATAATTAGATAGTTTTAATTTTAATTTAAATAAACTCATAAACATTTAATTCATACAACTGTACCAAATAAAATAAATAAATAATTTTAATTTAAATACATGCAAAATGGACTGACTCACAGAGCAAGTGTAAAAATATAATTTATCAACTCACTAATTGCCGGAAAATACAATGAATGCATAACAGTATCGGCCGGCTTA